TAGGGTTACGGGAATGACCATTCTAAAGAACACTAATGATCAAAGAAATAAATAAAAGTAACAAACTGAACGTTCTACTCGCAACCTTTTGTGGATCGGAATATTGATCTTAGTCCTCTTGATCTAAAATGGTTAATTAAAGAGTGAACTACACTAGCCCAATAAGAATGTCACACTACTCATCGATACAGAAGAGAAGGTTGATAAAAATCATGAAAATAACTAATGGAACTCTTATTTAAAGTAAATTCATTTATCATAAGTAAAATCATTTATTGTACATTTACTATAACGAAAATTTCAAAACTAACCTATAGAGGTAATGACATAAACAATCTCATAATCTCATATACAATTAACCAGAACAATAATCTTTCTTTTTTATCTGTCTATTGGTATCCATGAGAGTTCATAGGGATGTCTTCACTATGCATGAACCTTTATCCCATATTTTTTATTAACCGACCATTTCCATACTCCGTCCAGTATGAGCGTCAAAAATATCATCTCTCAATACCCTGTCCGATATGAGGGTGAAACGGATCGTCCCTATACCCCATCCGGTATAAGTGACAAAGTACTAATCCTTCATACCCCGTCCCGTATGAGGTAAGATTCACGATAGGGTTTTCTATATACCCGGTCCGTTCACCATCTCCTAGAATATCCAGTAAGGCTACCATTCATTCACTCACTAAATCAAACAATTTTATGTTTACATTTAGGGATATCATCGTGCTCTGGTGACATCACCGCTGCCTCCTGCGGCAGTTTGCCTCCGCCAGTTTTGTATTTCTCCTTACGAGAAAACACATTAAGAAACCTCAGTTGACCGAAAAAACTCAAAAAATAGAGGCTTACCGGCAGTGGGATTTTCGTTTGATAGCTCCGTCGGCTCACCTTCATGGCTGGGTATTTTGTTTCGGTTAACCACAATGATGAAAAAATTGTACGAAACAAGAATCGAGAAAGACCTCATCGAAGGTGGTTTTTTATTTTTTTTGTGGTAGTGCCGCCGGTCTTTACCTGTAGTTTCTGCCTCATCCGTCGGTCATTTTTCTCCGATTTGGCTATAGGGATGTTCAAAATCGAATTTCAAGACAAAAGAAAATTGTTTACCTCTTTTGGCAGTTGGAGGTGGCTCCGGCACGGCGGCGGTCGGTTCCCTTCCTGACGACTAATTTTTCTTCTCCGGCGGAAGGTTTGACGGCTATAGTTAGGATTTAGTGTGAAATGGGGTATTTATATCCGTTTTCTTTTAATCTGGATCGTCCATCGCGTTTGATCTGTACCGTCCGATCGCGTTTAAATAGGAAGTGAATCTAGGCCGTTCATCGTGATTTGATATGAACTGTCCGATCGCGTTTAAATAGGAAGTGAATCTAGAGCGTTCATCGTGATTTGATCTAAATCGTACGATCGCATTTTAAAGGAGGAACGGATCCGGATCGTCCACACGCGCGTGAATAAATCTAGACTATTCGATCGCAGTCACGCGGATTGTCAGCGTGGCTTTCCGCATGGCACCGCACCAGCGTGCCTCGCCACGCAGCATGCTCTGGTCGGTCGGGGCTGCTGACTGAACGTCGTACGTGGCACATTTTTCATAAATTATGTTTTGACCTCCAAATTTTTAATTTTTCTTTGAAAAACACCATTAAAATCCAAATTTTTACCTCTTTTTTTCAAAAATTATTTTCAATTTCATCATCTACCTATTTTTTTTCTCTAAATTTTTATATCTAATAAAAATTCATAAATTAAAAAATAAATTTTCATACATTAATTTTAAATTTTTTAAAAATTAATTAAGAGCGTTACAGCGAGGTTTCTTTGAAACCCTATTTGGTTAGATCTCTCCGCCTTTTCGTGTCTATTTGTTAATTTCCATCTTTAGACAAAGAATCTATTTTTTAATTTATCAGTGTAAGTTTTTTTACTATATTAGNNATTATCTATTTTAAATTTGTTAAAACAAAAAAAAAAATATAGACAAAAATTTAGTAACTTAATCATAAGCCTCCTTTCACATGACAAAATGAACATAGGGAATGAATTGAATAAGACAATATGAAGGTGGCTACATTCATGTCCCCCTAATATTGCTATATGTGTCGGCATGATCCTCAAGATATATATGTATGAGGATATTATATACATTATTATATGTTACCCTTTCTAAATCTATATATATTATATTATATTATATTATATGTTAACCTTTCTAACCTATATTCAAAGCTAATTTTATTAGTTAAATATATTTATTATGGACAATATCATGTTGAATTAAGTTATAAATAAGCGTGTAATTCGTCCACATTAAAGGCCAAATATAACGAAGAAATTCTTCAGTCGGTCGGGTCATGCATGTGCTAATTTACTTTTCATTAATAGTTCATAGTATGCATGCTTGCACAGAGATATTATATATATATATATATACGCTTTTTTTGTTTTAGTTTGAAATTAAAAACCATTTGACAAATTCTTTGGTTCACAATTAAAGTAATTAATAAATTCAAACACGACACACAGATATTATATATATATATATATATATATATATATATCTATACACACACATGCACACAGTCTACTTTTTACTATAATTAGACCCAATGAAGAGGCGGCCTTGTTTTTCATATTACTGTTTTAATTATTTAATTTTAATAACTAAAGAATTACAGTCAAATACATGG